TAATCATAAATAATTATGCGTGCAAAATGCGTCTGTTCGGGAGCAGCACGAATCAAATTGCGTTTAATTCGACAATTACGCCAACAACATTGCCAGTCAATGGCTGTACACACTCTCGCACACCGAAAACCGTCCATCAAACCGGCGTCGATCATTCGTGAAACTATTTGGCAAGCACGGCTGCGGCAGAACACGTTTCTCGTCTGTAGGCAGAATCGTAAATCATCGAGAGGATAAATTTTAAGAAAAGGAAATGAAACACGTTTGAGTTTTATGTTTCTCAACCTCTCTCGATCTCTGCCATCTTGTTCATTCTGGCTGCTGGGATGATGACCGACCTCCTGGAAGAAGTTCGTCCCTGTACCTACCGGCAAACGAATGGGAACAAAAAACGGAATTCTTTGGCCAGAGGTATCACACATCGGAGAGTAGTTCTTGGAATTGAGATGATGCCAAGCAAAAATGTACCTACCTCTCTGGTTGGTGCACCGTTCGTTGGTATGGTGTCTGTATTTATTTTTTTCGAAAAGCGGCATGAACACAGACGGATATGAACTTCAACCACATGTTGGATTGAGTTTTTCTTGATACTGTTCGTTAGATGGGGTTTCGAATGGATATTTTTTATTGCAAAATAGGGTTTTGATCTAATTTCCGACCTACTCAGCACAACCTGCTATTTACCGCTCTATTTCGAATGGATTTGAACAAAAAATTTAATGAAGACTTCTAAATGTATTAACCTTTCAATGCGTACCGGATTTGAGATTGTTGAGATATTGTTAAAAATCTAACGCTGCTTCTTGATTCCAATTCCGTCGTACGAGTTTCAAGTCCGTCCAACCTAGTGGGGTGCAAAGTTCAACATTTGTATCTGTTCTTTGTCCCACCGCCTAGAACGATATCGATTTAAATTTTTTATAGAGCGTCCTAGGGAGAGGGTTTCTTGGGTAAAGTTGTAAATTTCATAATATTGAGAAATGCTACCCAATTGATGATCTTTGATTTACAAGAAGTAGGCCTTCCGTTTAAAAAGTACCGTATATATAAAGATACTTTGTTGTTGGGATAAGATGGAGCATTCCGTTTCTTGCATGCAGATCTTGAATCACGAACCTCTTACGTTGGTGAAGATTGTGATGTATATTGAACTGTTTTCTGTAATGTTTACGTGCGGTGAATTGTGTAAAAATGTGTGAAGCAATTCAGTGCTTTTTTAATTGTTTCCGATTTTTCTGTGAAGCGATTAAGGACTTTCTGAAATGATTGAAAATTTGTCTGAAATGATTCAGTTCTTTTAGAAGTGATTCAGTTTTCAAACTTTTATGAACTGATTTAGTACTTTCCGGAGCAATTACGAAATTGTATGAAATGATTCAGTACCTTCTGAAGTGATACCGAACTTTTCTGAAGTTATTCATTTCATTTTGAAGTGATTCCAAACTCTTCTTAAATTATTCAGTACTTTCCAAAGTGATGCAATTTCACTATTTCTTAAACATGAACTTAATTCTATTCAACTTGATATCAGCTGTGCAATTTTACTATTATTACAAAACAAACATTCAACAAAACTGCACACACACAAAATACAAACTAAACACAAGGTTAATCAAACTTACAATCTAAGGTTAATATTCTTCCAGAAAAATAAAACATTGATGTTATTATTGTTTTCTACTCGATAGAACGGAGGTAGGCAATTGCGACGAAGTAGAGTGCTACCCTATATATAAAAAATACTCTAAGAAGAGGAGGTGATGGATGGTAAACAGACACCTTATGAAGGCGACTCATGTCAGGCCATTGGTTGCTTGTGTGTGCCTCTTGGTATTGGCGGGAATGGTTTGATAACCCCTTAGTGATGCATAGTTCACGGAGCTGCAAACTGCAATACATACTCTATAAAAATCACATGATTCTGCCGACTCCTACAGGATATTGTCAGATTTGCTTCAGCTACCGTCCTGATTCCGCCATTATTATCATCCAACGTAGCAAACAGCCATCGCTGGTAAACTAGCCCCTCAGATGATATGCCGACTCCCTGCAGGAAACGTCCATATAGTGATGCTGTGCAAACATCAGCACAGCTAAGAAGAGAAATGACTATCAACGCCTCTTTTCGCAAATACGTATGCATAGAAAGTGACGTTGATAGTGCCGTAATTTAATTTCCCATCGATGACTGTTTTACATGCTGCCACATGGACCGCGAGTCGACAGGAACCGCTTCTCCATCTTCCGGCCGTAACTCGTTCCACTCTATTTTGACAGCCACAGTCCGCACGTTTTCTGCCGAGATAACCTTTTTTAAAACAGCATCATCCATCAAAGTAGGCGTTGCCCAGCAAAAGCCATATATTTTTTACGCCAGAATTCCTTCCTATCTGGTTTGCACGAAGCGAGCCTCTTGATTAGGCAGAAATTCCGGAAACTATGTCTTCCTGTACCGGGCGGAACTGTCCGTCCGAAAACCAAGAAGGGAGGTATAAAAGTGAGAATAGCGCAGCAAAAATTCTACATCTTTGCGGCACCAAGCAACAACAAAAAAACCAAGCGGAAAGTAAATGGAAATTTTTTTGACAACGAAAACATTAGTCACTGTACCACCACCGTAGAGTCGTTGCTGCCTAACCGGGAATGTACGTACATACCCATCCAACGTAAGGGTATTCGGGGTAAGACGGACAGCTGATTGTTTGATTGCTTAACTATTGACTAATAGGTTTTTGCCACGTCCACTCTTAATTTACGATGTTCAATGCATTCCACGGGAAATGTCAAATTTTGAAAGTATAAACAAAATGAAAAAGTAATTATTCTAGCGGCGAAGTATTGTATATCTTGGCGTGCAATTCCTAAGGTTGTAAACTGCCTATAATCGCATATAGACGAGTGCACAGATGAACTTTTGTTCATCTTCTGAAAAAAAATTGACACAACAGCGGGGCCCTGTTTACTAAAAATGAACACATGAATAATGCTCAAGTAACATTTGAAAAGGGCCTATCAACTTTTGTAAATAATTTGCTAGGTCCTTTTCACGAGAACCGAAGTCCGCCCACGCAAACCAAGAGCACTATCGGGAAGGGGAGAATTTCCTCTGCTCGATGGTGTTGTTAGTGCGCGTGAGCGTATTCGGTTCGCGCGAAAAAGGCTTAACAAGTTTTGTGTACATAAGTTGATAGACCCGTTTCAAATTTTACGTGAGTATTATTCATGTGTTCATTTTTAGTAAACAGGGCCCCGCTATTGTGTCACTTTTTGTCGAGTGAGTGAACTCAAATCCATCCGTGCACTCGTCAATAAGTCCCATATGGAAAAAGTAGGCACTGAGAAAATGGTAGTCAAAGTAAAGAACAGCAATTTCCACGTAAATATTTGATAAATCATAGTAAATTTATTGATGTTTTTTATTTGCAAATTAAAATCAGTTGCAATGGAGCTTGTATGTTTTGTTATATCAGTGAAAAAGACACACAAAGAACAACAATTGTTGCAGTAAAATTATTGCCATTTTAAATTAAAAGTTTCCAAAATTTAGTAATTGTGGTTCAAAACACTATTGTAAATAAAAGATAGATTTTTTTTTGTTTTGAAAGTGTTTCCTTTCACCCGGAACTAATAATTTTAAAAGTGCATTAATTTTAAACAACTCAACTCTCCACTGTCAAATATGCAATTTTTCAGCAGCAGAGGAAAAATCATCCAAGAACTCCGAGGTCCCAGCTATGGAAACTCCAAAAACCGGGTAGACCTAGGGTAACTCTCAGGGTAGACATAATACAAATATTTTATTAATCAAGTAATAATTTAAAAATATAATATCCTGAATAAAAACATCACAAAATATATAAAAAAAGCCTGCTATTAAAGTGAAAACATTGGTTTTATCAATTAAAAATGGCACATGTCATTTCAGCTATACCAATCCTTCATATCAACAGTTTGTTTTGAACTAAAACAATCAACTTTTAATTTGAACTCTGTCATGATATGTATATGACAGTTCTACAATTCGATTTAAAAGTTTCAATTTAAAAAAAAAAACAGGTAGCGTGAAACTTTTGAATTGACAGGTATTAGTTTAGAAAGCCAACAAATTGATAGGACTTTAGTTAAGAAAGCCAACCGCTTTCCACCAAAACGTTCCAATGCTAATTTTTAATTCTACCAATTGTTTCTTTAATTTCGCCAACGATTATTTGTTGTGTGTATGTGCAATTCAAAAAGCAAAATGATTAGATTAGATAACGTCTAATCATTTTGCTTATCACCATTGAAGCTTAGCGGTGCCAAGTGTGTAGTGGTAAGCGTGATAGCCTTTCACTCCAAAGGGACTGGGATCCGTCGGCGCAGTCGGGATTTTCGGACGCATAAAATCTCTGATCACGCCTTTGGGATGGTCACTCTACACACTCATTTTGCGCCAATATTTTTCTCAGTGTGCCTCAAGTGTGTCACGCTGTGCCGAGAGTGCCATGTCATCGAACTGTTTTTTTTTTTTTAGAATAATTGTATGTTTGGCAACCCGGTATTTTGAAAATTCAAATGTTTTATTTTTGTGTATTAAACCGTACGAGCTGTCGAAGACAATGGTCACGTCAACGCCAGATCAACAGAATGGGAAACCCATCAAGAATACTACAGCACTCGGATCGGCCCAGTTCCGTTTCCTGTATGTCGGAGTGCGATGAAGATTTGATCCACGGAGAGTAAAGCAAACATTACACGCTGGTGAGGAGCATAGGAAATGCACTCATTAAACATTCTTCACCGGGACATCAAAGATAAGGACGTTATCATCGATCACCATTTCCATATCAAGCTGATTGACTTCGGATCGGCGACTTTCGTACAGGAAGGGCAACTTTTTTCTACATTCTACGGCCCGACCGAGTACTGCAGTCCGGAAGTGTTGGTAGGCAACCGCTACTGCTGCCCTGAACTGTAAATGTGGGCTCTCTGTGTGACACTGTACGTGTTGTTGGTCTTAGAGAACCCATTCGTGGACGTTGAGGAAATCCGTTGACAAGAATCCCAAAACTTGGATCACCATCCAGGAGCTACTGGAGGCGGAATGGATGACGCAGGAAATCAACTCGTCACAGTTCAATTTTCCCAAAACCGTCCCCAGCCAACTGTACGAAATCAATCCGTAGAAGCGCTACGTAGATGCAAATATCTGCTACAGCCAGACGGGACTGTCCTCGTCGCCGCACAGCATTTCGATATTGGATGATGTCGATGGTGAATATGAGAATGAGCATGTCCAATGTCGAATAAATTATTAAATTTATAAAAAAAAATAATGATTTACTGCTATTTAATTAATATATTTTGGGATTCATTTTTAATGTCTAGTGGCGGAGTAGCAATGATTCTACTTTAATCAATCCAGAACTAGTCCAGGTTGAGCTTTAAATGCTTCCTGGCGATTTGGCCGGTTGGTGGTTTTGTCGGTGTGCCGGATAGCGTATCTATCTCTGGAGCTTTACAACAGTTAGTGAATGTTTTTGCTTCAAAATCCGTGAAACATCTAGAGGTCAATACAGAAGTGCATAAACGTGCAGTTTCTGCACCCCTGCGTTGGCGTCGTCGTGATGTCAGCATCTTCCGTTGCTCCGGTTGTGGATCACAGTAAGGCTGAGTTGGAAAATTGTTTGTGTCAACAATCAAATTTTGATACATTCCCACTGCGTATGCACAGACATAATGCAGTGATGCCAGCTACTTTAGAGATCACAAAAAATATGTACCATGGGTGCCAAACAGTACCACTGAGTGAGCCATGGTGTGCCCTACTGTGTTTATGGCACACTGTGCTGAGTAACCTACCCCTTGGGTCCAGGTCAATCCTTTGCCAAGAAGGAGGGTTACTGACGCCACCACCATTGGTGGTATCAGCACAGTAGCCTTCAGTTTTTATGTTTTGTTTATACGTGCTTTAAAGACATGTTTGCGTTAAAATATCATAGATGAATAATCATTAATAAAAACTTATATTTTTCCGGGATTAACAAGCTTAATCTAGAAATATTAATACAATAAACATTTAATTCCTACATGTACGTGTTTTGTTCAACATTTCTCATAATTATCTTGTTGCGCAACATATTTAAAATTTATGTGAACTGAGCTTAATTGCACAATGTTTGCATCAGCTGACATTGATTAACAGATTATCGAAACAAAGAACCAAAAACTTTGACTTCAAGTTAAATGTTGGTGGATGACGTTTCTGCCACCGAATTGGTCCAGGTGTGAGAACTGCCTCCCTGGTGTCAGTGGCATTGGTACTAAGTACGGAAAATAATATCGACGGTAAACAAATCAAGGAAAAAAACATTGAAAATGATTCTGGAAAATGCTTCGAATTTAAATAATTACATTCAAACCACGAGACATTTCCTAGTTATGTAGATGTGAATGTAATAAAAATGTATAATCACAGACAAACAGACATAACCCTCCCAATCACATTCATCGCAAATAATGTTTTAGTTGGGAGTGTGCTTGCATTTGTCATGGTGGCGCCACTGAAGCATTGAGCAAGCCTCCACATTTCGAACTTATCAGTGATGCCAGTTCTTTTTCACGTCTAGTTAGTAGATTTTTTTCCTTTGGTTTGTTTTTTCCGTCGATCTTGTTTTCCGTGCTGAGCACCAATGCTACCGACGTGCCAGGAAGGCAGCTCCCACACCTGGACCCTACCTATCGACCCATCAACTCATGAACCGGGGACCAACGGCTTTACTTCCCATCCGAAGGAAGGCGTGTTCAGAGATGTTAGTTAGTAGATGTCAGCTCTTGAAAATGATAAGTGGTCAAGGCATCCCACTGGTCTCCAGTGTGTGTCTCACATACCACATCTGATGAATACAGAAAAAAACTGCTGCACATTCCGTTCCTAATATTACGTTGTACGATGTACACAGAATTTTAGAACAAATCATGTTGATGACTGTTATATTCTATCAACTTGATATTCAATACTTCACCATCAATATCATTGATCAATATCATTGATAAGTATCATTGATAAGTATCATTGATAAGTATCATTGATACATATAATTTTTTTTTTCTTCTGTGTACACATTGAAGTGATGAGCGGTGGTAGAAAGGGCACTAATAAGTGATGCATTACCTCGTTTAAAAAACTTGTTTACAGAAAAAGAAAAAGCACACTAAGCAAACAAAACACATCCCTAAAACAAGTCTTAGCTTATGAGAATTTTTCCTATCCGTATTTCTGAAAAATTCAATCAATTATATAGATCTTCTGAAAATTTCATAGAACCGACATCACTGACATCCATCTGTTTTGTTTTTATTCAACACTGACGCGTTGACAGAACGAGGGAAAACTAACTAGTGAAAAAATTACATGCACGAGGGATGCTCCGGTTGCAAAACATTGCTTGGGAATGTTGATGATAGATGGTGCTAGTGCGCATGCAAAATACACTTGTCGATATTTTTTGAAGAATTTTCTTTTAAGAGTTATGTCTGTTTGTTTGTGGTATAATGTAATGAATGGCACATAAAATATTAAATGAATTATTATGAAAAAAATAATGGTAGCATCTCACCGTAAGACTCAAATGTCTACCGAAGTGTTGTCTTATTGCAATGATTATCTCAAGAAATATATGTAGTCACTTGAAACAAAAAAATATTATAAAATATAACAAATTAATGATCAAATGGAGAGAAAATGTTGTTGCAACAATTGCATACTATCAAATTAAGAGATATTGGGGTTTACTTTTACCTTAAATATAAAATACGTTTGTGTATAAAGCAATATAACGTACAACATACAGGAATTTAATAAAATAAAATAATCCAACCTGCAAAATGTATTGAAGTTCATGACATTGATATGATGTCAAAAAAATCGATTTTTGACATTTTAACCTGCTCACTATTAATGGCTTATTAGGCTGTTAGTAGCAACCAGAGATGGTAAATATCACGGTCGCCATTTGACAATGAGAAAACAGGTCCTCTCACTATCACGAGACGCAATTGCCTATCATTAGCTTTCTAGTAATTTTCCAATGATCAAGCACTTATGAGAATAATTCTTATGCGGTTTTGGCATCAACATTTCTAACTGATTAAGATGAATTTAAGCAAGCAACCTTATATAATCGGTAAATTGAATACGTTATTAAGATTTCCTCGGTACAAGTAACTTTAATAACAATAAATAAGCGATGATCTTAACACTGTTACGATCTTTCATGACAAAAAAATCGATGAGATTTTGAAGAAAATCTCCATCATCGTTTTATGATCCGATGATAGTGACTAAAGTATCTTTTTAAATATCGCGTGAGATCTTTCATCTGGGGCCTCCCTTAGCTCAGTCGGTAAAGGCGCAGCTACAAAGCAAGACCATGCTGGAGGTGGCTGGGTTCAATTCCCGGTCCGGTCTAGGAATTTTTCGGGTTGGAAAATTTCTCGACTTCCCTGGGCATAGAAGTATGATTGGACTTGCCACACAATTATACCAATGCAAAAATGGTACAGGCATCGAAAGCTCTCAATTAATAACTGTGGAAGTGCATCTAGAACACTAAGTTGAGAGCACGCAATAAGCTAATATGCGATATGCAATAAGCTTGAAATGCGAAGAAGAAGAAGAAGAAGTGAGATCTTTCATGGAAAATTACATTTACCAGTCCTGGTAACAACAGCCATATACCAAGGGATATTCAACTCTGCAAACCTTAATCCGTGATTGAGCTGTGCCGAAAGCTGTGCCGAAAGCTGTGCCGAAAGCTGTTCCGAAAGCTGTGCCAAAATCTAGGCTAAAAGCTGTGCCGACAGCTGTGTCAAGCACTGTGTCGAACAGGCCTATCAAGTTTTTAATCAAGGTGTGCCCATATTATTACTTTTGTAATTGTGTTTACATTCTCAATTTTTTGATCCCGGCAAGCATTCCGCTTCCTTTAAAGCTCATTAGAGCGTTACCGGATCGGGAGGTGGAAGAGGAAGTGGAAGCCATCAAAACTATACGGTGTTCAAGCACCAAAGTCCGGCTCGATGTCCCTTTGAACATGCTGATTTCTTGCAGATGTACAGAAACGAAGGCGTAAACCGATCGATGATGGATGAAATTGCCTCCTGCTGCCTTTCCAATACTTTCCGACTAAAGTAACATAGAACTAGAACAGGACAGTAGAGTTCAATCCCAACCTAGGAGCAACATCCTCACGCCACTTTTCATTAAAACGTCGAATCATATATTCAATAATGATCGAGGCCTTACGGTTTACCGATCGGTAGGGTACCCATCGCACTGGAGTCCCTTGATACGAGCGAATACAACAGAAGGATGATCACAGAGATGCAATTGGAAAATGTCCGAATCTGATGACGAGGATGTGCTTGATGATTCGTGAAATAGAATAAAATTGAATTTCTAACTTCAATGATCCGTTCCTATAAATCCTGTACTATTGTGCAAATCGTACACCGATCCAGGTCTGATGGAATATGTGGGGTCAATATAGTACGTATCAACATCCCCCAGCAGGTTCACTCGGCTGTCGACAGAACCAGACCACTCTCAATGTGTGCCACGCGATCGTCTGTTTACTCGGCTGCATGCATTGTGTGGTCCTCCTCATTGTTCTTCATCAGCAGTTCTTTCGGTCGATGCGTCGTCGACTTTGAAAAGCAACCGTTTCGCGATGAATGTGTGAGTGCTGACCACGTGCGTCCATGCTGCAATGGAAGCGGCCCCGTTGGCGAATTTGCCGTACAATGAAACCACTGGAAGCAGCTCCACCAGAACGGAGAAGGCTTATTGGATAGTGGAAGATAAAATGTTTATTATGTTGTAACTTTTGACTATAGTTTTAAGATGTATTGTACAGTGAACAAGAATCCTCGGCTCTGTGAAGTTAATTCGGTTGAGCCTTATCAAATAAATTAATAAACAAAACCAAAAAAAACATCCCCCCAGCAGTACTGAGACTTCTTTCGAAAAGAGATGGACATCCCTATAAAGTCCTGTGGATATCCCATCGAAGTCGAAGACTGGCTAGAATATCCGAGGAAACACGCAGGGGAAAATTAAAATTTACATCCGGTATGATCCTCGGCAACACCAATATTCGAATCTGGTCAGTGGCCGCCCCCTATA